TTTGAAGTAGCAATTTGTTTCAACTTTTTTTTTTTTTTTTTGTGTGTACAAATTTACTTCAACTCAAATATTGGGGTGATTTGCACATTTTGCTAGTAGAAGATGTTTGGTTAGTAGTTGAGAAAATACTGAACGAAAAGTCTAAAAATATTTTATGGAAAGTTAATAAGTTTTGTAATAAAGTTTTATTAGAATTTTGTTGAATTGTTAATTTTTCTATATTTAATAGAAAATCAATATATAAGAAAAGTTAATAACAAAGTTGTCAAATAAGTCCTACACAAGAAAAATTGTAGGGAACCTTTTTCCTTTAAAAATGTAAGAACAAAAGTTTACTTGTTGAAAATTATATGAAAAAAATAAAAACTAAAAATGTCACTTTACTCTCTTTTTATTGTAATATTAAAATGTAAAACTACAAAAATAACTTTAAAAGAGTAAAGTTTGGAGGAAAAAGTTTCCCAACCAAACAAGCTTTTAAAGCTACAAGCATGCCCACTTACATACTCAATATCTAAATCAATTCAATTTAATTAAGCTCCTGCATTTCTATTATTATTATTATAATAAAATAGTCACAATGTATTGACTTTTTTTATTTAAGAAATCAAATATAATATTGTATATATCTTTTCATTTATTATCACATTATTAGTATAAATTTATAATTTTACATAATAACTTTATAATTATAACATTTTTGATAAGACGATAATTCATGCACACTCAATTTTATCATCTCCAATCACTCCCTCTTTAAAAAATAAATATTTCACAGCTCGATCTTTTAACGCAGAATAGCTTAAACTTATGGCAATTTATACCGCATTGGTTTATTTGTGTTTCCAAACATATTGATTTTATAGTAGCTTGACAAAAGACATCCATGTTCCTCTTCTTCCCCTCTCTCTTTTTTTCTTCTCCCAAATCCTAGATTAATGGAGGAGGAAAACTCAAAAAATCAACACCCAAAAACCTCCAACTCTCCTTTTTGCTTCTCCCACATCCAGAATGGAGGAAAACTCAAAAAATCAGCACTTAAAAACCACTAGCCTCCTTTCTTTGATATATATATTTTTTTTACTAGATTTGTCGGCTCACCCCTTTATTTTTTGTTGGGCTCACCCCTCCAAAATCTCCCCAGATCTCCCTTCCTATTTATACAAGAAATCCTCAAAAACCCTAAAATTTCTATTTATTTCATCACACCTATTGCTTTCCTTTCTCTCCTCTTTACCCTCGGATTGTACAAGGCCAAAATTGTCCACTTTTGCCCTTTTTGCAAGAAATGAAAGGACATGGCCAAGAAAATTTGCTAGAATTCTTATCCCTTTTGCATGCTTTTGGCTAGGGGCAAGCCCGTCTGGATGACAATGGGGAAGGGAGAGGTCGAAACAAGAATGAGATCTATGAATCCTTTCTCAAATCAAAGCTTTTTACAATGAGATCAATTGTTTTCATATATTCAACAATCAAACCCCAAGGACTCCATCTTACTCTCATGGAGCTGAGGATGAATGGGACTCTTGTTATGGCGTCAAGATTTTCCAACATCAAAGGAACTATTGTTGTCGATGAGTTTGGCAATTTTCCCAGTTTGAATGGAATTTGGATAGGCAAGGATGGGCGAATCTACAAAAAAAAAAAAAAAAATTTTATTAAGTAGACCAACTGTGTGTGCTTGAGGATGTGGGATTATGGGGTAAATGTATCGTTACCCTTTTTGATATTATCATAAAGCATTGTGCATGGTAGATTGTTATTTTTGAATTATCAAAACCACTAATATTCTTAAAAAAATAAATTATTAATAGAATGCCAATGCATAGAATTAAAAAGAAACACAAAGACAACTATTGTCTTCATTGTGCCAATCAGAACCAATTTCAATAATTTTCCTGGCTTCCTCTGTTGCCATCAGAACCAGTTTTCTTAGATAATGGTCGGAATGTGAGACAATTTTTCTAAACAACCTAACCCCCATGAAGTCATAGACATTGCTGTTGGGAGTGAACCTCATGGAATCGATCAATGCAATCAGTTGGTGCTCTCATCGCATTCATCTTATTGGAAAAATCAAAGTCGCGTTGCATGTTGTCTTGTATGTCAAACTTAGAGGGTGTTAGGGATTGCTATGAAGTGCTGTGGTTGTGACTGTGGCTGTCATTAGGTATGACTGAAAGTTATTTTGGTGTTTAGTTATTTATTTTTTAAAAGTATTATAAAATATTAATAAAAATATATTAAAAAATATATTTATATTTGAAAATTCATGGGGGGCAGATTGTACAAACCCGTAAAGAACAATTCGAGTATTCAAACAGTTTGCGAGTCAAAGTC